CGCCGCGCCCCGCCGGCCCCGCCGCTGCCCGCCCGCCCCGCCGCCGCTCGTGCTCCGTGAAGGCGATGCGCGACCACGTCTCGTTGTTGATGTTCTGCCCGTAGACCCGCAGCTTCACCCGCGTCCGTTCGCTCACCCGCAGCGCGCCCCCCTCCATGAAGGAGACGTCGTCCGTGTCCTCCAGCCGCAGGCCGATGATCACCGTCTCCTCCGCCGCCGGCGGGGGCACGACGGCAGCGGGCGGCGCGGCAGCGGCGGCGGCCGGGGGCCGCCGGCCCAGGCAGCCGCCGAGCAGCAGCAAGAGCAGCACCCGCGCCCCCCGGCCGCCCCCCGCCATATTCCCACCGGGCAGCGCGGCCATCTTTAGTCAGGGCTCGGCGCCGCCGCGGCCCCGCATCACCGCGCGGCCCGCCCCGCCCCCCGAGCGGGGGAGGGGCCTCCGCCCGGCGCCGCCAATCAGCGCCCGCCCGCTCGCCAATCAGCGCCAGGCCACACCCCCGCCGCGTCCCGCCCCCTCCCCAGCCCTGGGGGCGCGTGACTCCGGTGTGTACGCCGGGCGCGAGGGGGCGGGGCTGGCCGCGCGGCCGCGGCCAATTACGGACGCGCTAGGTGCCGAAGGGGGCGGAGCCTTGGGAGGGGCGCGACCAATGGGGGTGCGGTGCGGCCGGCGCGCGCTGCGCTCGGCAGGAGCGGCCCCGGGAGCGCCCGCGCCGGGACACAGGGCGGCCGAACGGGCCGGGCGATCCCGCTTCCCCCGCCGCTGCCGCCCGGTCCACGGCGACCGCCGCTCCCCACGGACCCGCCGCGCCGCTCGCCCCCTTCAGTGGCCCGGGAGCGCCTCCCCGCGTTAGCGCGTCGCAGCGGTCGGCGGTCGCGCAGCGCCCCCTGGCGGTCCCGGCACGCCTCGCAGGCCCGGCCCGACGGGGCGCACCCCGGTGCCTCCCGCCGGGATCTGCTGCGGCGGAGGCCGCTCCTCAGCCGTGCCCGTTCCCCCGTCGGGCCCGAACCGCCGCCGGACAGTACCGTGCGACGCTCAAGAAATCGAGCTGTCGCACTGCGGCCCCGGGCACCCTCCGGCCCGACAGCTCCTCGGCTGTGTCGCGCCTGAGGGCGGAATTAACCATTAAATACCGAATACGGACGGGCCGCGCTCCTCCCTCACCTCTGCTCTGCTCCGCCGCCCCGTGCCGCGGCGTGGGGTGAGCGGGGCCGGGATTTGGAGCTCCCGTTGGGGACATCCAACGCCGCCCCAGCTGTCCCGCTGTGCTCATCCTCAGTTCATGGGTGCGCACAGGGCCGAGAGCCGAGCCATGAAAGCACCTGCACGTTCCCTGTGCCTGTCCCACCGCCCTGAGAGCCCGGCTGTGCCGCAGTCCCAGCTGGGGCAACGCACACCCCGCGCCCGGCCGTCATCGCTCCATGTCCATCACTTATGAAGGAGCCGAGAAACAGTTCAGCGTCCTGCAGAGCCAGAGACAAACAGCCGTGGGAGCAGCCAGTGTGGCTTGCGGTGGCTGACACCCTTTAGAGGCGGTAAAACAGCCTCCCCTGATGTTTAAGTGCTTGGAAAATGGAAGAATAAATTGTGCAGGGCAACCCAAGAAGATGTGGAGCAGAGCACAGTGCTCTGAGGGCTGGGTCATCTCTACAATCACCAAAATACAGACTGGGGTGTTGGACAGATTGTGTCGGGGTTCCTCACATGGGATAGGGCTGCAGGACCTCCTCTTTTCATGCACTGGAGGCTAAAACCCCTAAGGCTGTGCATGCACAAGTAAAGCCAGGCAAAGAGACACCACTGCACCCACAGCCTGGTGAGGGCCTTAATACTCCACATCAAAGTAAAGTTCTCTTAGCTGCTTCTTTCCTGACATGCTGAGAGTTTGGGAAAACATAGTGCAATGCAAATATAGTGGCATTTGAGCTGTGGCCTTTTTCTGTATGCACAGAGCAGGAATCTCACTGCGGGTGCAGCTCCTCCCAGGCAAGTTGAAAGGCCATGCCAGGGACTCATGTCTTTTTAATGAAGGGATTTGCAGGTAGGACCCCCCCTCACCCCACCTGCTCTTCCCTTCCCACTGGGAAGGCTGTCTTTGATAGCAGGAGATAATTGCTGCAAACCTCCCAGGATGAGCTGTTTGGGGACTTGGAAGAAGTCTTTGTAAGTAATCTAGAAAGAGGGCTGGGGGTGGGGTGTGTGTATTAAACAGCTCCTTCCTTCCAAGGTCACATCAGTGAGGTCATTCCACACAATTTCAGAACAATTTCAGGTGTCCTGAACACCTGGACCCTCCTCAGCCACTGCTACTGCTGTGGCAGAGCATCCTTGGCATTGGCCTGTTTATTTTTGAACCCAAATCTTATTGGGTTTTGCTTCTTAACTTCCCCCATGCCACACAAGATGATGCTTAAATGGCAGAGATGGGAAAATTGGCCCCTCCTGTAAAATTACTGTGTGAGGAGGGGTGGAAATGGTCCCTTATTTCTAAGTTTAGCTCTTCAGCAGCCCCCAGCCTTTCGCAAGCACCTTCTGTGGGCCAGGTCCTGTGGGATTCATGCTGGGCAGCAGGAATGCAGTCCATCACCTCGCACCACACCCTAAAAGCACTCCCACGTTGCTCTTTGCCTGCTGTGGGATGCAGCTGGATGCATTTCTGCTTTTCCAGAACTGCTGAATTTCCCTGCAAAACTCTGCAGGTGCGATGCCTGCAGGGGACTCAGGGCTTTCCAACTAGATCCAGGGGAAACAGAAACCTCAGTGGTGCTGCACAGGGAAAGAGAGAAACTGTCCCTGCCTGTGTGCCCGTGTGCCCAAGCCAGTCAGGCACTGCCAGCCCCACAGTGAGGGGACTCACAGGATGGGTCCTCACTGCAACCAGGCACAACCTGCCCCATCAGCCCTGCCAGGGAAGCACAGCACCCACGGCCCTGTGGCAGCTACAAACACACAGCCTTTGAGCTCAGACATGTATTTATTTGCTCTCTGGTGGAAGACATCACTGGGAACACATCCTCCCACCCCACTTGCTTCCAGCAGAGGTGGGGGGACACCAGCTGCCACTCAGCAGCACCCTGGGGGACCACAAGTGCCACCAAGACAGCTGGCAGGACCTGGGGCTCTCAGCCGCTCCAGCAGCTGGAAGGGATCACAGATCTTCTCCTGAATGACAGAGAAAAACCCAGGGCAGGATCAGGCCAGTGGGAAGCAAGAGGCACCTGAGAAAGTGGCACTTGGCACTTCCTTAGCTACCATGGGGGGCAGCCTCTGGGTCACTCCAGCTGCTTTTTCCTGCAGCAAGAAGCCAAGAGCTTGTCTGGGACTTTGGCTCTGCCTTTATCTGAGAAATGCCTCCTGCTTGGACAGAGTCCTGAGAAAATCTCCCCTTCCTAAGCACGAGGCTGTATTTCAGGGATACGCAGCTGCAGGGTGTTATCTCCCTTGTATCTCCTGGCCCATCTACAGGCTGCAGGGACCACCAAGGAGAAGAGATAGATTTCCAGCAAATAGAATGTTTTGTGCTGCAGGGTCAGGGTTGGCAGCCAGGGCCAACCTAATCTTCCATCAGCAGGCAGGAGAGCAATGGGCAGGAAGAAACCGTGGGGATGGGCCATCATCTCCCTGGGGCAAGCTGTGCACGGCAATCCCCTCAGGGGAAGGATGACTCCCCTTGGGAGACCTCAGAGGAGTCCAGCTGTCAGCCTCGCCAGTTCCCATGGACATGTTGGGGTGGTTAGAGCAGATCCCCCTTTGGAGGGCTCCAACTTGGGTAGGGGTACAGTTTGTCCCAACTCGGGCACCAGGCACCACTCTTGGTTTCCCACAAGCTCCTGCCCAGCCCAGAAGGAGTCAGGTGTCTTGGTATCATGCTACAGCCCTGCTGATACCTCATAGCAACTCTGATGTCCCAATTCCTTAACCCAGCCACGGAGCTGCCCTCTACCAACCTTCACTCTCTTGCCACAGCAGCCCTGCGGTGCTGCAGCATTTGCTCCACCAGCTTGGATCAGGAACTTCTCAGCAAACCTGGAGCTCTGCAAGATCGCAGCCATCTCAGCATCCACATCCACCACCTCTCCTTCCTGGGGACAGAGGAATGGTCACAGGTCTGGGGTCCTAGATGTGTGTCCCAGGGGATTCCAGCCACCCAGACAGATGATGGGGAGAGTGAAAGCAGGAGCACATCTTGGCCTAAAATCTGAAGAAACACCCACAAAACCCAAGCACCAGGCTTCAAACCATTCTGGGAAGCCACCATGGATGTTCTACTTCTACCTTTATCACAAAGCAATGGATGCATCTGTCTCCCTTTCCTGTACATTTGCACTCCCCTGGGTTGACACAGCCCCTTGGCTCCCACCCACCATCCCCTCCACCAAAGCTTGCCCCCCAGATCACAGAGGATGCTGCTGAGTAGCAGCTTCATCAGCTTTAACTCTTCCCTACAGAGCCCCAGCATGCCTCCCCAAACCTTGAAGGTGAAGTTGGCATCAAACACCAGCTCTCGCTCGTGCCCCACAATCCCGCCATGGTAGGTGACCCGTCCTGGCCCCGTCCGGCTGGCACCCGGCACCTTGAACAGGCGGTAAGTTGCGGAAACAAAGCGGCAGTCGCCTGCAAGGGAGAGGTTGGTGGCTTGGGCACTCAACACCTGGGCTGGGATCCCAGCAGAGCTTCCCACAGCTGGCACTCCCTGGCTGCATCCTCACCGACAATGCCCTCCAGCTCCTTGTCGCCAATGGTGATGGGGCTGGCGGTGACCAGGCATGGGGGGCTGAACCCCACCTCCTCAGCAATGCTGTACAGGTCTCTCCAGTACAGGGCTCCTGCCAGGCATTCTCCTGGTACGAGACCACAGACACGGGGGATGGAGGCAAAGGTCCAGTCCCCCTGTGCCACATCACCCCCGTCCCACAGCCCTACGCACCCCACAACACCCGGTGCTTCCGGATGCTCTCGCTCAGGCGCTGGCTGGCATAGACATCACTGAAGTACATCTCTCCCCCGGGCTGGAGGGCAGCAAGGAGTGAAGGGAAGCCTCAAGAAGCAAAGAGACAAAAGGGGCAAGGAGAATTGGGAACTGCCTAATCCTACCCTGCTTGGGACCCTCCACAGAGATGCCCTCCCCTCATCCCATCCTGCATCCATGCCTTGCCAGATCCCATTTGCTGCTTCTCAGTGGCACTGAGAAGCAACAGTACCACCCCCAGCCTGCTTTGCTGCCACAAGCATGAGCCCACCATCACCTTCAGCACACGGAAGGCCTCCTGCAGCACAGCCCTCTTGTCAGGGGCAAGGTTGATCACGCAGTTGGAGCTGCAGGAGAGGAGACCAAGGCTTATTTGCACCCTCTTGCACACATAGCACCACCAGCTGCTGTGTATCCCATCGCTTCACACAGGATTTGGAAACACCAATTTGACCACGAAAAGGGCAGTTTATATTCTCAGACTAGCCCAGACTCTGGCTTGGGATTTCCCTTTTGCTGACATGTGCTTCTGAAGCAGTGACCCATTGGGATGCAGACCCAGCCCACAGCCCTGGGAAGCAGCAGGACTGGGGGTGACTGTGCCCTGCATGGCACCTACATGACAATATCATAGCTCTCATCAGCCAGTCCAGCATCACCCAGCTTCTCCATGTAACCACGGAAGAACTCCACGTTCGGCTTTCGGTAGCCAAACTTATCCATGTGGTAGGCAATGTGCTTCTTTGCCACCTCAACCTGGCAGGAGGAAGGAAATTATGTGGGGGAGCTGCTGCAAGGATGAAGGGGAGCCCCAGATCCGTGCCGTACTTGGCCCTCGGTCATGTCTATCCCAGTGACGTGGCCCTGCTCCCAGACCAGCTGGCTCAGCAGGTAGCAGTCCCTGCCACTGCCGCTGCCCAGGTCCAGAATCCAGCACGAGGACAGGCACTCAGGGATCACCAGACCGCAGCCGTAGTACCTGGGGGGATGCTGAGCTGAGTTGAATGGAGCTGCCCATGGCACAGCCGAGAAGGGGCTGCAGCCCACGGGGATGTGGCAGTGGAGTAGAGACCCTAGGGTTTACCTGGCCATCACCTCCTCATGGATGTGCTCCAGAGCATCTCTCACCAGCTTCGAGACAGGCCTGGCTGAGGTGATGCACGCATTGGTTTTGAGGTCCTCTGACTTCTGCAGCTCTTTGCCGTAGTAGTCCTGAGATGGGAAGGGCAGAGGCCACTAAACTGTGCCAAGTTGAGCCCTGGGAGCTCCCTATGTTCTAAAACTTGGGGGCCATGCCTGCACTTGGCCTGTACATGTGCACATGTCCTCTGGCACTGGCACTCTCGTTTCCACCTAGCCAAAAACTACAGTAAGATCAGGCATCCCTTTGTCACCATCCTCCCCAGCTCCCTTTGCTCATATGCACTGATGTGTTTGTGCAGGAGGGAATTTAATTCCCATTTTCAGTAACTTTGCAGGCTGCAGCCACCATTTCGCTGGCTGAGAAGGGTACAGGGAACAAGGACAGGGAAATGCCAGGTTGCTCCACCCCCCATTCCTGTGTGAAACAGGAGCAAAGCTACCAAGTGCACCTGGCATTTTCATCTGGGCCCAGAAACAAGCTTTATCCTCTAATGGCAGCAGAAACTCTAGCATAGCCCAACAGCCCCATCCCTCCCCAGCTCCCATCCACACTCCTCACCTGCACCTCCTGGTGGATCTGCTCTCCGATGGGAGCTGCCACTGCAAGGGGAATGTGGGGCTGGCGGCTGACACCACAGAGACGGGCACCACACCAGGTCCTCCCAAGTCCTGAATCCCCCTCTTCCCCCAGGTACCACAGCACCTTTTGCTCTCCCCCAGCAGAACTCTGAAAATCCCCCTAAACTTGCAGTCTAATAGGGTGCTCCAGGGGGCAGCTGACAACATCCCTCCACCCCAAAAATCCAGTCCCAGCTGCCCTGGAGAGATGAGCCCCCAAAGCATCCCTGTAGGGTAAACCCCCTCCCCTGCTTAGCAGAGCCCTTGGCCCAAGGGCAGCCCCAGCAGCCCCGGCAGAGGCCCTGGGCTCTCTTACTGCCTCCAGCTGCAGGGCCTCAGCCGGACTCTGCCCAGCCCGGCCACGCTCCTCCCCAGTATCCTGTGCTGTCCCGGCATCCCACGCTGCCCGGGCCAGCCTTCCGCCCTGGCACACGGCCCCGCGGGCACAGGCACAGCGAGGCTGCTGGCCCCGCTCCCGTGCTGAGCACGCTGCCATCATCCATGGCTCTTGCCGCACCCACACCCCCAACACCCACCCTGCTGCCTGCTCCCCAACAGCTCTGCACCTCCGCAAAGCAGCCCTGCCCCTGCTTGTCCCAAAGGCAGGGAGACACAAATTTAATGCCACGGGACTGCTGTAGCCCCTGCAGAGGACTTTGGAAGGGACGAGACACCTGCAGCAAGGTCACACTGCCTCTGCAAAGCCCTCTCAGCTGAAGCAGAATGGGAGATCCCGGGGGGAAGAGAACCACCATCCCAAACAGCCTCCCCAGTGCACAGGAACCGCTAGCGACAGAACCCAGGACAGACTGCTGCAGTTTGGTGGTGTTCAGGACAGCTTTTATTCCCAGCAAGAAAATCGCAGGGAAAACTCTCATTCCCAAAATGCACCTGCAAAGCTGGGGTCAGAATGTCACCCAAGGCAAAAATACTGGCAGGGATGGTGAAATCTAGTCTGAGAAGGCTCTGCAGCACAGGAGCCAGACTCCAGCAGCATTCCAACAGGAATGTGGCAGGCCCGTGTCAGCTCTCAGCCTGCCTGCTCCTATCAGCTGGTGAAAAGCACACTCAGGGAAACAAGTGCTTCCCGTGCACTCCAAGTGCTCCAGATAAGTGACTTACCAAAAACAAGACACAGCATTTATAGCTGGTCCTGGATGTGCACAGCTCACTAGCCTTCAAAAGAGCAGTGCAGAACTGAGCACACCAGCTCCTGATGCTCTCCTGCCTGCTTCCCAGATGGGCCTTTGGATACCTTCCCAACCAGATACAAACACACACCACAGCCAAGGCTGCTTCATCAAAAACTGGAGCAGCAGCCCAGGAGAAGGAATGCAGTTGAAGGCTGAATGCAGCACATGTGGGCTGGCAAAGGGATGATGTTCCAAACTCTGACAGAGAGGAAAATAAGATAACGTCTGAGGAGGATGATGGCCAAACCACATCCAGCTAGGCCATTGGCAGATGTGTGTGCTTAGATTCCTGGTCTCAGAAATTCAGTGCTGGGACTGGCACCTCAGCCTACACTGAAGCACCTCTCCTCTGCCCAGGCACTTGCAGCTCACACTGATTAAAATGCCCTAAATAAACTGCACTCTGTGCCACCTCTGCGGCTAAATACAGAGCAGTGGCAAACTGCAGGCACCTGCATTTAAACACCATGCCTCAACTCTGCATTTCTTGCCAAGGGTGCTGGGGTGGGCTGACCACTTCACACTACATGGGAAGTAAGCAGACACAGGAATTATTGGGAAGAGCAAAGTTTCAGGGAAGTTTGTTTCAGCCAGGTGCAGGTGTGCACTCTGGAGCAGAGGTGTGGATGCAGGCACACGAGAGGGGGCACAGACTCTGCACATATCCCAGCTGACATCCAGCATCATCCAGACATAGTTCTGAGCCCCAGGAGCTGGAAGGGGGAGAACACTTCACTCCCTCAGTGCTGGTTGAGATTCCTCAAGCTTTTGGCTCCCCTTCATTTCAGCAAGTGACTCAGCTGGTCCTGAAGGTTTGACGAGCGCTCCACGCTGGGCACCGAGAACAAAGAGATTCATGGTGAGATCTGCTCCCAGACTGTGCTGTGCTGCCTGTGCCCAAGGGACCACAGCAGCTCTAGAGCTGACACTACAGCAAAGATAAACCCTGGGGTCCCCTTACCCCCCTGTGTCCCCACACAGGAAACCTCACTTCATGCACCCTGCTGTACACAGCTCTGCTCCCACCACCCTCATCTCCTCTCACAAGCAACTTCACATGCTCTATCACATCAGTGAAACAATAGGAAGCTTGGGTATGAATCCCATCTCTTCACTCAAATTCCCATCTCTTCACAATACTGAAGTGTTTATCCTGCTGGGCCAGCATCTGCCTCAAAGGCAGCTGCAAAAGTCTTTCCATTCTGCTTTCCCCCATCCAACTCCATCACCTTCCCCTTTCTACCCCCACACGCACGTCCCCCAGGTGCTCCCAGAACTCACTTCTTTTGAATTGCTTCTTGCCTAGATGAGAAAAGGAAAGACAAAAAAGAGCATTAGAAAAACAAAATCTCAGTCACGGTTTGTATTAACTCGAACAAGGGCTCAAGAGACCAAAACTCCAGGATGTTTCTGGATTAAGTTCTGGGGGACAGAAGTAGCACTGGCTTCTCCTTCTTAGTCCCAGGTGCATAATACACACTCATGGGAGACACAGTGCATGGCAAACAGGAGGCAAAAATTTCAGCTCCCACCCCAAAACAGCCTGAAAAGGGCTGGAAAATTCCAGCTCCAAGGCCTGCTCAGCTTTGAAAAACTGCAAAAGAGAGATCAGTCTGAGCTGGCAGGTTCATGCAAAGTCTTTTAGGAGAACAGAGAAGGACTGAGGGATCCACTCAGCCCCCAAGAGAACGCCTACTTACTGGTACTGTAGATGAGTAGTTATTATGGCCATTTTTCTTAAACTCTGTGGAGAACGAAACAAAGAATGAATGCCTACAGAAATCACAGTGCAGCTGTCCTAATGCCCTGGGGGTTCCTCCAGCACAGCCACCACTCTGTTGCTGCACTGACAAAACACCCCTGCTGGTATCTGTCAGCCTGGCACACTTCCTTCTCCTTTCCCAGGGACACACAGAGTGCTTTGTTTCAGCCCACAGGCCCTCACGCTTTCTGTCAGAGAGGGCACAGCTTGAGGGCTGGCCGGCCTGCAGGACACCGGGAGTCCAGCAGCACTGGGTCTGAGGAAGCACTAAATTATTCTGGCCACCAGCCCTGCTGCCTGAAGGAATGTATTTGACTCCAGGGCTCCGGCAGCACGGCTGCAAACTGTTCTTACCACCCTCCTCTCCTCCCGTCCCTAGAAACGCTGCTGCTCGAGCACAAGACACAGCTTACATCTTCCGAGTGCAGGATGGCATCTTCTTGCATCACCATGTTTCTCGCAGCTTGACCCAGCAGCTACAAGACAGACGTACAGAGCCGGCTGAGACGCTGCAGCTTTGCGTTTCCCGAGGCCCCCGTGACGGCTGGCAGGGTGACACTCGGGGTGACACCGTGCAGGGATCACCGCGGAGCCGTGACAGCACACCCATCGGGAGCGCCTGAGGCACCGCTCCCACCTGTCACCATGAGCAGCTGGCAGTCACCCTCCCGCCTGCCACCGCCGGGGTCCCGAGGCGCTGCCCACCCGTGCCCGCACTCCGGTCCCGCTGTCCCGGTCCCTGCCCAGACACAAGGATGCGTCCCCTCCTCGGACTACAGCTCCCAGCATGCATTGCGCCGCCCTCCCAGTTCCGCTCCGGTACTGTAATCGGCCGCCCGCCGGCACCCGCCGCTCACCTCGGCGCTACGAGAGCCCTTCAGCACCTGCTTAGTGAGAGCGATCACGTCGGTGCCGCAGCTCGTCACCTTCTCGGTCAGGAGCCCCTTCACCGAGTGGCCAAAGCGCGCCTGGGCATCCGCCGCGCCCCCCGCCGCCATCTTACCCCGCCCGTGCCCTGCCCCGCCCACCCCCGGGAGCCGCTACGGCGAGCGCCGGGGGCCCGAAGACTCGGAAAGGCGCAGAGCCCGCAGTGGTCGGGGATCCTGCTGGGAGGGGCGTCAGTTTCCAAAGGACTCCCCCGATGAGGAGAACTCATCGCCTCGGGCACAGACACCCACGGGCTGCCCAGCACTGCCAAGCACAGACCAAGGCTGACCAGGGTTTCTCAACACTGCCCAGGGCTGACCAGCGCTGACCAGGGTTTCTCAGCCCTGGCCAGTACTTGCCCTGTACTGACCAGGGTTGACCAATGGTACCAGGGGGTGACCGGCGCTCACCAGCACTGTCGAGGGCTGCCCAGCAGTGTCCAGTGCTATCCGTGTCTCCCCAGCACTGACAAGAGCTGATGATGATGGATGCTCCACGCTTACCAACATTTCTAGTGCTGCCTCCCGGATCTGTCGAGGCAGTGCCCCGCCAGAGCCCCCAGCTGTGCTCACGGCACCCAGGAGAGACCTCGAGCTGTCCCCACACCCCTGGCCCACCACAGGGCCCTGGGGACGGAACCCCAAGGACGGCTCCGACCCCGGGCATCCCCGGCCCCAGCGCGCTGGAAGCTGCTCCCCCATGGCCACCCAGGCTGGCCGTGGCCCCGCTGCCCTCGCCCCCCGCCATGCGCCCACAGCTGCAGAGCTGGCCAGGGGCCCAGCGCTCGGCTCCCCCCTCCCTGTCCCCCCGATAAGGAGCCGAGCCCGCCTCAGAGTCAAGGAGACGACCCCGCAGCCGCTATAAGGGCCCCCCGCGCGCGGCGGCCCCGCAGCCGGCCCCGCCATGGCGCTGCTGGGTGCCCTGCTGCTGGCCCTGGCCCTGCTCTGCACCTGGCGCCTGGCGCGCCGCAGGGACACGCTGCCAATGGCCGCGGCCACGGGCTTGGGGCGCCCGCGGAGCCTGCCGGCCCTGCCGCTGGTGGGGAGCCTGCTGCAGCTGGCCGGGCACCCCCAGCTCCACCTGCGGCTGTGGCGCCTGCAGGGCCACTACGGCAGCCTCTACGCCCTCTGGATGGGCTCCCACTACGTGGTGGTGGTGAACAGCTACCGGCACGCCAGGGAGGTGCTGCTGAAGAAGGGCAAAGACTTCGCCGGACGGCCCCGCACCGTGAGTCGGCAGCAGGTCTCGGGGACCCCTTCCCACTGTGGCGTGGAGTGAGGAGGGGGACGCTCCCGAGGAAGACACTGGCACGCAGCAGGGTCCGCGTCCCCTCCCCATCCTGCCTGCAGCGAGCCAGGGGCAGGGCGGCCCCTCCACGCCCTGCTCCCCTGGGGAGCCCGGCCATCCTCCAGCCCAGGGCTGCCTGCTTTTCCTGCAGCTGGCTGCATCCCTGGGCACGGGGATGTGGGTTCAGCTACTACCAGGCTCCCTGC